GCTTTTGTTCGATCAACTTTAAATTTTCACTTTTAAGGAAAAAGAAATGTCTTGTTTAAATTTAAAAACTCGCCTTGGCCGGTTTTGACAATGCTTTTGCTTAGGCTTCGGGGTTTTAATCGAAATCTGAGGTTTTGTATAAGTTGGTGTTTATGAGTTACTAGCTATGTAGTAGAATAGTTTTGGTCGTTAGCTTAGTAGATTGGTTATTTTAATAATAAACATGCTTGGTAAAAAAAAGAACTACAAGGAAAAAATGAAAACATAAGAAATACTGCTTAGTATATGGATCAGCTGAAAATTCCACCCGGGCAGTGGATCGTACCGCTTAACCCCCCTCGTTGGTTCACCAATGTCTTCGCTCTTCGCGGTTAGCCCATAGGGTCACACGCAAGTGCTGAAGTTTATTTCGAAAGTGCAATCGGATTTTAAAACTTTTAAAAAGTGCAATCAAGTTCTTAATATTGTCAAATTGGCGAAATACCGACATGACTTTTTATATTAGTTTCTCGTGACACGTGATGCTGACGTGGCATTTTGTATTATTTTTTGGAGAGAGAGGTGCTGATATGGCATCTTCTTCTTCAGTCCAACGTCCTCCTCCTCCTTCATCCGCCAACCCAACGCCATAAGTCACCCTCGTCCATCGCTGAAAGCTTCATCAAATGGGATCACAAGAGCCTTGGGCAATCGAAATTAAAGTATATTTGTGAGAGGTGTGGTGGGTTGCTGGGAGTTTTACCTTCCACATTTAGTAGCAAAAAAAAAAAAAACAAAGGGACGAACGGCAAAAAGAACCAGCTGCAACGGGTAAATTGTGAGTTGCCCGGCGATATTATAACTTTAAAGCTAAATTTACACCTCAAAAGTAAGTCATCGTCTCCAAGCTAAATTTACCCCTGGCTCGCTCTCTCTCACGCACAATCAGAATCATGGCGGGTTGTCATCGATTGCGGTGGTCGGTAGCAACCGTGGTCTGCGGCGACCGCCACAAGGCAGTCGCACCTCCCAATCGACAGCTCGGTCCGAGGTCACAATGGGGGTCCGGTTTGCTCAAGTCTAAGCTCTTGTTCGATTCACTTACCAACAATTATCTGTTTGTGAGAAAATTAGCAACTTTTGCAATTTAGAACACCCACATTTTCCCCCCTTCTTCTTTCAAATCCTGTTCCACAAACCTCTTTCTTGTTTCTTTCTTTTAAGATCATGCCATTTTAGTTTGCCCGTCATGTCGTCATATCAAGAGATTGCATTCTAAAATGGACCGTCTTAAATATCGTGGGGACAGTTGTCAACAAATGTCTCCAAGGTACTTGCTGATCATACCAAATATATAATCGATTTCATTTTCAATGCATGGACACTCCAACAGAATAAACGTGCATTGAAAATGACGTACATTCTTCACATAAGTGTTTCACAAGTTTCTTAAGGCACTCGTTAACGAAAACCATATTATTTATTCCGGTCTATTTCGCTAAAAGAAATAGCAACCTAATCATGATGGTTGCTCGCCTAATAGTTAATTAGTTCTCAGGCATACCCATAGAACTTTTGAGATGATATTGTATATTTTATTTTATTTATTTAGTGATATCATTCTATGGATAACATGATAACCATCATATGTAAAAGTATACGCTAAACACCATAACGATGATAGTCTTCCTAAATCATAGACACTTATTATAAATCAAATGAAGGGGTGGTTCTATATGCACAGAAAGAAAGTAAATAGTTGTTCGACAATGAGTCTTATATATAGTAAGGGTAATTTTGAAAAGCAAGTAGTGAGATAAATTGTGGTTTTGGCTTTAATATGCTGCACCATTAAGCGGACTGGGTTGCCTTGGAGCCAGATTGTTTTTTTTTTTTTTGTTTTTTGGTAACCGAAGTGTCCGGGCCAGCTTGCGCGCACCTCAACTATTCCTCGGAGGAGACTAGCATAGCAACCCACCGCCATGGCCCCCCACTTAAATCACAAGTGCTCAGCTGGAGAATCGAACTTAGGACTAGTGTGCCTAACCACACAATCCCAAGTATGCCCTAACCAACTGAGCTACCCATGGGTGGGTGCTTGGAGCTAGATTGTTTTTTTTTTTTGGTAAAACATTGGGAAAATTGCACTAAAAGTCCCAAACATTTTGCTCAATATGCAATCAATTCCTAAGCATTTAAAAAAAATGTAATATAAGTTTTAAAATTTTTTTGAGATAGCAGCAATAATTTTAATAATTGCTTAGCCTATTTTGCTAATGTGGCTTACTAGAAACCCAACGTGTTTATTTTAATAGTTTTTGGCATATGTGACACTGACGCAATATTGATGTGTCCGTCTCATAAGAAAACTCAAAATCTGAAAACAACAAAAAATAAAATAAAAAATCAGAAAGCCAAAAAAAATAAAAATAATAAAAATTTGAGAAAAAACCAAAAAAAGAAAAATAGAATTGAAAGTTAGAGAGAGAAAGAGGCATCGTGAGCTTGAAGATGCCGCCCCCACATTGCCAACACCTCGCCGAGGGGGTGCTTGTGGCAAGGGCCCTCGACTGTGACCGGTGACACGGGGGTAGCGATGCCAACTCCCAATCAACAATAGATCCCCGTCCATGGTCCGCCTTTCCGCCCCTCTCTTCATTTGATTTTTCTTGTCCTCTTTAGGTTTTGCCCTTTTTTATTTTCTTTTATAAAAAAAAATCCATCTTTTTTAATGCGACTCCACATCAATGCTAAATGCTACTTCAGCGCTCCATATGCTAAAAGATATTTAAAAAAACGCCACAACGAATTTCTACATGCCACATTAGCAAAGTTTGGTTGAAACCGGTGTCCAAATCGACTCAATTGTATCAATTTAACACCCTTTAAATTTCGACTGCCCGTCTTCAAAATGTTTTAGACTTCGATTGCAAATGAACCAAACGTTATCAAGACCGTTGCTGCCATCTCCTCGAGAGCACGTACATTTCGGGCTGGGCGGGCCTGGATTTGGGCTTGATTGGGCCGACCCGGCTCCATTACCAAATCACACATGGGGACCCGCCCGAATAGATTCGGGTTCATACGATCGTCTAGGTGCGAGTGGATAAAACTTGCAGGTGACACAGAGAGCTCAGCTTCCTTTCGTACTTCATAGCAATGGCTTCAGTATCATGCACTATCCATCACCTGCCCTTCACCACAAAACCTCCTCCTCCTCCTCCTCCTCCTTCTTCTCCGCCTTCTTGTTTGATCTTGAATTCACGGTTTCTGGGTGCAAGAAGCAAGCTGGGTTGGGCACGACCCGTTAGGATTGGACCGTGCAACGGGTCGAGAGCCAGGTGCTGGTTCAAGTTCGGGAAGAATGGGGTTGATTCTGAAGGCGCCGGCATTTATGGCAGCCAGTCCCGTGATGATTTTGACAGAGATGACGTTGAGCAGGTAGGATCATCGGTTTTTTTTCATGTAAATTCTTTCTCTGTTTTCCGTGGAGTCGTGATGTAATTTGAGGAGGTTGAATTGTGGGATTCAATGACGATGTGAAGACGGTGCGAAAGTTTTGGTACTTTAGACTGCTTGGGTCATCGCATACTTTGTGCACACACATCAAGATTGGACGGTTTTTGAGGATGCAAGTAGCTTAAAGAGCGAAAAGGCAAGCACATGTAAGTAGCAAATGTAATGTTGTGAGTTATTTGGAGGTCCAGGAAATGGGGTGGAGTGAGCTTCAAGTGGTAAATGACAGCCTTATCTATTCCTACTGTTCGTGTATATTTGTCATGTTTCATTAGCAGTGGGAGTTTTTCTTCTAACCATGGACAGAGGGATAGGCTTTTTGCTCTGATTAGTGTTATGATTGTCAGCCTGTCGGATACAAATGAAACAAGGTTGAAGCAAAGTAGGAGTAGAGTAAATGATGTGTGATGCCATTGCTCTCAAGCTGTTTTACTTCATGCTTTTGCTACTATCTTTCTGAAAATCTTTCGGTCTTCGGTGCTTCCTTTTTGGTTGGGTGTTATAGTGTGGAAACCAAGATGAATGCATAGGATTCCTAATCCTTGGACAGTTGAAATTCCGTTATTGTGGCTTTAGCTTAAGTAGTGAACGAAATGAGAAGGTAGAAATTATGTGGACGCCAAGCCCGGCAGCATTTGGGGAGGAGTCATTTGTGTCTGCGACCGATTTCCATTTCTGAGCAGAATTATGTTTGTGCAAATGAATGAAAGAGGCATTTGTAATGGTATTTGCAGTACTTCAACTACATGGGGATGCTTGCCGTCGAGGGAACATACGACAAGATGGAGGCTCTTTTAAGCCAAAACATCCATCCTGTAGATATCTTACTGCTGTTGGCGGCATCGGAAGGTGACAAGCCAAAGATTGAGGAGCTACTAAGGGCCGGGGCTGATTACAATGTCAAGGACGCCAACGGTCGGACTGCACTCGACAGGGCAGATGAAGAAATCAGGGACTTCATCCTCGGGTTTTCGGTTCAGAAGTCGTGATCGGACTAATTTCAGTGCGATTTTGCATGATTTGTCATATACATGTTGTGCATCATATTTCTATAGGCCATGTTTTTGGTGCAGATCTTCTCTTCTGGTTACCGTAGTAACCAGTACCGTATTGATCACTAGATCATCAGTCTTGTTACTCTTGTTATTCCCATAGTAGAAGATTACAGTGTCTTTGAGGAGGATTGTGGAAAGTGGTCACTCTGAACATCACCAAGTTGATAAAGAGTTTGGCAAAGCGTTCCTTGCGTTTCAAGAAAAAAACGGAGATTTCTTCTCACACTGTGTATGTTCACTCTCAGAGCTTGCTTAATTATACTTGATTACTTCTTGAATAATTAAAGATAATTAAATCAGGTGGTCAGATGGGACCCCTATTTGCTCATTTAGTTGCACTTATGCGCAAGATCCTTAAGATTATAGGCATCCAGCAAATTCAGTGCTTGTGTTCATTTCAAAGCACTACACTGTCGACGATAGTGTCGGAAGAGAAGAGTACACGGCAAATTTTTGCATTCAATCGGACGATATATGCCGGAATTGCTTCAGATATATCAAAAAAATCCGGATGACTATCATATGAACATCTTCCACGAGGGAAATCCGGGCGCGGTGTATTAAAGGCACGCCTACTTGAAATAGAGTTGGATAAGCTTCTTCAAAGTATCGAATATGCTCGTGAAAGGGTTGAGTTGGATAGGGGACTGTAGCTCTAACTCTGGAAACTGGTTGGTCAAAGCTTGTTGCATCCCAGACATCGACATCATTGCGGCGAGCCGGCTATCTGACATGACTTCACAGTCTTGTGGTGTATCCTTGATCTTATTCGGATCATAACCGAAGTTTGCTAAGTAACTCTTGTACTTCTCGATGAATTCAGGTCCAGGGTTGGGTGTCCTGGAATAGATCTGTAGAATCACAAAAATCATGAGATGTTCTCGCGTCCCTTTCTATAAAAAATTCCAGCCATTGGTCATTGCTCTCCATGTAAAATTTGCTATCCTAGATATGAAAGTTATCTTTCACTATCTTGACGAAAATGAGTCAGTTACCTGGATGAAGCTTCGGTCTTTCGCACCAGAGACAAGAGAGAAAGTCTTATAATCAGTAGCTATGACATCGTATGGCTCCTTCGGGATGAATGGCAGCGTAGGAAAACGGAGATAACACTTCTCTTTGATCATTTCTTGCTTTTCTAAATCAGTTTGCTTTTGCTCCAATTCTTCCTCCGGAATGCATTGGACGTTTCCCCTTATGCCGGTTATGTATCCATCAGGTCCTCCGTGTACACAAAAGGTGTCGACCCGGATTGATGGTGCCGCCATGTCAAATGTGTATACTCCCTGTAATGTATCACAAAAATGTATTGTAGCGGCCACCATTGTCATCGCAACAACAATTTAAAGCAGACAAAAGAACCTTACGTATTTTTTCAAAAAAAATGGGTTCCTTCATAAGTCCATGTATACCAGTATGCCGCACATTTGATATTTGAACTCTAAACCCACATTACTAATCCACTCAAAGCTGAGCTGATATTAATGCAGCAATAAAAGAAGTAAGAACTACCAGAATTCTTTTCGATTTCATTTTCATCAAGCACAATAAGATTTTAGACATTACTCAGTCTAAGCTGTTCAAATAGGAACACGAATATTTTTTGGTCCGTCTGGTTCGATAAAAAGTTTTCAGTTTTCGTAGTTAGTGAAAATGAAAATCGTGTTCGGTTCATGAAATAGACAATATTTCTTAGGAATGAGAATTGTAAAAATATATATGGTTATGTCAGTTTCGTAATCAAAAGAAGTATAAAAATTGTGATATTCTTTTCTCATAAGGAGCATTCTTGTTAGGAGTTGACCTTATTTTCAGGGAGTATTCTTATTGTGAATGTTGACCAATGGCATCAGTTATAAAGGTGAGAAAATCATAGGAGAAGGGAAGATTACTAGAAAATGTTTACTTATAATGGATATTGTAGTTCATGAGTCTCCATCTTCAAGTAAGATATCGAGTTTTTGGGCAAAGACATATGTAACCAATTTTATGGTCAAACATTATAGTTTTAGATAAGCAGTAACTAATTTAATGGACATAAATCCTACTTTGCAGACAAGGAGTAGATTTTGTGGATAAAGATTTCAAAAATTGATCCTTCATTTAATATTCATAAAACAAGGAAAAATGAACACAAAATCTGAAAACATGTTTGGTGAAAACATGATTACCAAACATGTTTTCACAATATCTACCGTAACACAACCAAACATGTCTTCACAATTCTATTGTAAACTTCATTGCCATATGTTTTCGCAAACCAAGGACCCTGCAATTTCCTACAGCGAAACAGGCCCTTTATTCTTCGTTATATACAAACATGCATGCATTGAACAAGATTACTGTAGCACTTACTTGAGTGCAGTGGCAGTCTTCTTGGCCTTGTCCGGCAAATCCTCGTTTGAGAGATGCCACCTCAAACCATCTTCCTGAATATCTGATAGGGTCAAAATTATCAGCTGTCATACCTCGCATGACCATAAACTTCTGGCTTTCTTCACCAGACCCCTTATCAAATGGCAATGTCATCGCAGTCTCTGCAGCACTTGCAAGCTGGCATACATTGTGGTGATGCGAGAAATCATGTGCATAAACCTGCCTCGCAAATGCAAGTAGATATGAAACGGGAGATTTCCAATTGAAAGTTTTTCTAACTAAACACAAACTGTGTAGTTCATTTCAAAAGCAGACTATTAAAAATTGAAAAGGAGATACAACTCAGACAACTTTTTCCTTTAATATGGTAAAAAAAATGAAGAAACCACTGGGGAATCATCTAATCCTCTGAAATTTGACTCCAAAATCTGATGTCTAAATAAAGAGCCCATAATTTGATCTGTCAATCAATCAATCCAATAAGCGTGAACATTATGACTGCGACACGCAACTTATACTGAACAGAAAAATTATTGCTGTTCGGCAATAGTTTTACAGTGTCCCCGTCAAGCAATGGCAATATTCGACAGATTCACTTGTCAGCTACACTAAGTGGAACACCTGATCAGTGGGGAGGAGAAACATCAGCGAAGCAGCAATCCCAGTCATTATACTTCCAGTCGCCAGTTTACTTGTAAAAGATTGGTCACTAGAGCATTTCAGGCTTTGTTTCCCCAGCATCACCCTGCATGGGCAGGAGAATTGCGGATAATTCTAAATCAACCAACCGGAGAGTGGAGACTGCATGACATATGAAACAGGGGCAACTTCCTAAAAACCTTACTCAGCCTCCATTATGAACTCCAACAGTTCTACGACTACAAAAGCTTATGTTAATACAAGCTGAAGCAAAACTCAAGCATCGAAAATGACCATCCAAAAGCTGGGTCTCTCTCAAAACCAAACAACAGATTGCTAGAACCTTTGACTTCAGTGCGAAGGGCTGTTTACTTATGGCTTCAAAGACAGATGAGATTAGAGCAAATTTTGTGTGTGGACATATCGGAATATCTCGAAAAAGAACAATCTGAACAATGACTCGAGCCCCAAGAGACATGTTCATCAGATATACTAAGAAGAGAATAGCCTACAAATGGATATACAAGGTTGCGTGGAGGACTCGATTTGGGTGTTGATTGTAGCCCAATTGTTCAAATTCCACTCGCAGACCGATACATTACTCTCAATATACCAATTTAGCACGCCAGCATGAGTATATACCTAGCATAACTCAACCAACAGATCATGCTCAATCATCAACCACATTCAAGTTTAACAAAGTTTGAGTGCCCACTGCAAATGATACCATGTTGGAGAAGACAATACATGCAAACAAACCCAGGAATTCCTCCGGCGCAAACTAATAAGAGACCCAATTCGCAGAGCAATCATTGCATTGGATAGAAGATCGCCAACATCAAACATGAGCAAGCCTCTAACAAAATGGATACAATTGAAAGCAGAAGATAGCATTTTGGAGAGTGTTGGGACCTGGGTATTGGCGGAGGAGCCCGTAGCTGAAGAAGAAATTGAGATGCCTGCACATGCGCCATCTCTCTCTCTCTCTCTCTCTCTCTGAGCGAGCGTGAGCAATGAGCATATACTGTACAAGTCCCGTCACAAGCCGTTGAGCTGCTTCTCAGACAGGGTCGTTGGAAATATCTGGAAGGAGACGACGTCGTTTGCATGGTGAGATGTGGTGAGAGATGTGTTTGGCTCTTCAATGGCTGTCTCTCCTTGTAAAGATTCGGGTTTACTTGCATGTCATTTGGTGAGACTGGATGTATATGCATCAGGGTCTGAAATCATTTTCACTCATTAATTAGTCTCTTCATGTTCTGATCAAACCTTTGGTGTCCGATTTTATAGATAAGCTATTAACTCTTCTCGAGATATGACATTTCTTGTCCCATCACAATTGAATAATTATCCAAAATCAAGATGGAAGAATCTCAAAACGCGAGCTAGTGTTTCAACTCAAGCACAAGATCACTCTTTCCAATCTTGTACTACTTCGCTTTCGTGCATAGTTAATATGTTCCATTTTGGTATCCAAAATGGGGTCAAATTCTCAATTCGGTACCCAAAGTGGACAAAGTGTCAAATAAGAGTCTGAAGTGCTTAGTCAGTCTCAAATAAGGGCCCGAAGTGCCCAAAAAGTCTCAAATAAGGGTCTGGGTCTCCGACCGGCCAAAATGTCCGCCAGCGGCCAAAAAACGGTACTGTTCCGGCACCAGAACAGTACTTTTATTATTTTTTGGGTTAATACCATGAAAAATCCTAAACTTGTACACTTGTGATAAATTTACCCCAAACTATTTTTTTGACCATAAAAAACTCCAAACTGGTACACCTGTGACAATTTTACCCCGAACTATTTTTTTGACCACCAAAAACCCTAAACTGGTACACTTGCGACAATTTTACCCTGACCTAATTTTTTAATAATATTATTTTTTTATTTTATCGAATTTTTTTTATTTTTTCTTTTCTTTTCTTTTTTCCTTTATTTTCTTTATCTTCAACCTATGGCCGGTCGCCGGTCCGGCGACCGGCCAGAGGCGAGGGCCAGCGAGGTCGACTCCACCGGCGGCTGGCGAGGTCGACGTCGCCGGCAACTGGCGAGGTCAGTTGCCTACGAGGGGTCGTCCTCGCTATCGTTGGCGAGGCTCGGCCCCGCCGGTTGCCGGCGGGGTTGAGCCTCACCAGTAATGGCGAAATCCCAACCGTTTCGTCCGGCGATCGCAAAGCCGCATCTCTCCAAGCGCGAAGCGTTTCTCTCTTGATTTTCCCTTCCCCGATCGGAGGACCGGAGCCATGGCCGGCGTCTCTCTCAAGTGCGGCGACTGTGGCGCCCTCTTGAAGTCTGTGGAGGAAGCTCAAGGGCACGCCGAGCTCACCTCTCACTCTAACTTCTCCGAGTCCACCGAGGCCGTCCTCAATCTCATCTACAGCTCCTGCGGGAAGCCCTGCTGATCCAAGACGGTACGCCGAATCCCTGCCTTTTGTGGCGTTCTGATCTGTTGCGCTGGCCATTGATTTGGTTTTTGAGCGACGGTGAGGACGACCCCTCCCCGGCAATTAGCGAGGTCGAACCTCGCCAGGGGTGGGCAAGGCCGACCTCGCCATTTGTCGGCGAGGTCGGCCTCGCTAGTGGCCGGCGGGACCAACCTCATCAGCCCTCGTCTCTAGCCGGTCACTGAACCGGCGACCAACCATAGGTTGAAGATAAAGAAGATGAAGGGAAAAAAAAAAAAGAAAATAAAAGAAAAGAACAAATACAAAAAATTTCGAAAAAATAAAAAAATAATATTAAAAAATTAGATCGAGGTAAAATTATCGCAGGTGTACCAGTTTAGGGTTTTTAATGGTCAAAAAAATAGTTCAGGGTAAAATTGTCATAGATGTACCAGTTTGGGATTTTTTGTGGTAAAAAAAATAGTTTTGGGTAAATTTGTCACAAGTGTATCAGTTTAGGGTTTTTCGTTGTATTAACCCTTATTTTTTTACATTTTTTTCTTTCTTTTTTCTTTTTTCTGTTTTTTTCTTTTCCTTTTCCTTTCCTTTTTTTTTCTCTTCCCTCCGCCGGCCTTCGGCGGAGGCTCCCCTCGCCGGTGTCGGGCGAGGCCCGCCCCCGCCTGGGCGGGCGAGGGTCGCCCTCGCCGGGGTCGGGCGAGGCGACCTCGCCACTGGGTCGCCCTCGCCGAAGCATCGGGCGAGGGCCGCCCGCCCACAGACGGCGGGTCACCCTCGCCGAGGTCGAGCGACCCTCTCCCGCCCAGGCGGGGGCGGGCCTCGCCCGACGCCGGCGAGGGCAGCCTTCGCCTGAGGCCGGCGGAGGGAAGAGAAAAAAAAAAGAAAAGGAAAAGAAAAAAACATAAAAAAGAAAAAAGAAAGAAAAAAATGTAAAAAAATAATAAAAGTACTGTTCCGGTACCGGAACAGTACCTTTTTTGGCCGCCGACGGATATTTTGGCCGGCCGGCGACCCAGACCCTTATTTGAGACTTTTTGGACACTTTGGGCCCTTATTTGAGACTGACTAAGCACTTCAGACTCTTATTTGACACTTTGTCCACTTTGGGTACCAAATTGAGAATTTGACCCCACTTTGGGTATCAAAATGGAATTTTCCCCAAAATTATTGCAAAAAGTGGAAAGTGCATAGTTAATATGTTCCTTTTCTTTTCCATCTATCTCCTTGCCTCGCAATGCTTTCGTTCTAAGTACGATATTAGTGCGCCAAGCAGAATCTTCTTGGAAATGATTCGCTCACCTACTTTGTTTCACTATTTTAAAAAAAAGAAAACAAAAATTTCAAGCATTATAAGATAAGACTTGTTTGGATTCATTCGATCATACTCTCGATCCAAGCCTCCCAAACCGAGTTTCGTAATTGGGCCAAACTGCAGCAAGGTCGAATCATATTATATTATCGACTATTGACGCGGGTTTGATTGCATGCCGCCACTCGGGTTAAATGAAATTTATGCATCCACAATGTTTGTATGAATTTTTAAATATGCAAAAAGCTAGCCCAAGATCATATAATGTTCAACAAGAGGCCTCAGTATGTTCCCCAAATTCCTATTTTGCCCCTTGTTTTTGAAAATCTCTCTTTTTTTTCCGGCTTGATTAGCTTGGAAATTAGCGAAGGAGACACGGAAAGGGGGACAGGCCAAAAGGAAAGAAAGGAAGCAAGAAACAAGAGGAGGAGGGTGAAAGCAGGAACTACTGTGGATGAACGCGTTATGTGAGCTTCATTCTTATCTTCTTCCATAAAGCCTAGTGGGGGTTCTTATTCTCTCTAAACTGTTATTAAAGCATCAATGTTTTTGTATACATGTCTCCTAGCTAAAACCAACCGAGCCAGCACATAGAATTTATATCAAAGGTTGCTCCAACATGATAAGCATAGCAAGAATATGGGCGCGTTTGTTTCGAAGAAAATTTTCACGATAAAAGAAGATGCTTTCCAGGAAAATGTTTTTCTTATTTCAGGTCGAGAAATTCACTTTCCTAACTTTAAGCATAAAATAGTTTTCCGTTGATTGATCATTTTCAGCAAATCGAAAGCGTGAAATTGCCCAAAACTTATTCGCGATAACATTTTTTTTTACTCAAACAAACATACCCTATATTAATTGATTTATTTATTTGGGTGGAGGCCCAAGTCATCAAAAGATTCGATCATGTTAATGTTATCCTAGTAATCGCACTTATCATGGTCCAACCTCTCACCATCATTCTGAGACAATTACTTGCTTGATGGGGCGCTCTCTCCTCTCATTCATCCCTTTCGATGCCTCTCCATCCTAGGATTTTTCCTCCAAGTTGCACCTACATTTACGTCGAGGGCGCTTGTGCCGAAACAAAAAAGTACCCTTAAAATCAAATTTAGAAAAATTAAGGATTCCGTTTGATTCGCAAAAAAATGAATGATTTGAAAAATATTTCCCTGAAAACGATCGCTTGTTTCGTCCGAAATAATCAGTCGACGAATAAAGTTTTATTATCGACGACAATTCGTGTCCAAATATTTTAGTGGATGATAAAATACTTTTTTCGTTCGTTCATTTCTAGAAGGGATGCAAATTATTCACTTTTCGTGAAACAGGCGCACCCCTAAAGACGTTAATGATTCGGACGAGAGACTAAAGCATGCAAATTGGTGTCATTTCTCAGCATGATTAACCGGATAGACATTAAACGATCGACCCACTTGGCCTGGCAACTTGGAAAGTTCCAAAATCGCGTTTGTCTGGGCAAGCAAAAAAAGACCAAGAGGCACTTCCCAGTTCCCACCTTGAGTGTGTGAATTGGTCGCCACCATCATTGAAATGGGAGAGAGCCTTCCTGCTTCGCTTTTTGATGTGTCGAGGATGATTCGACCAGAAGCAACCGCACCTAACCATGTCATTTTCATTGTCGTGGCCTCGGCAATTAGGAAAAATTCTGATCGGAAGACCATCTATTGATGATTCCCCTAACGTTAAAATAATAGAAATTTATGCTCATATGACGTGACTAGCAGATGGGATTGTGCTGAATTCTCGATTTTTTGCAGTTTGGTGTCAAAGAAAATCTCACGCATGTATTCTACCCGATCCCATTATTTATATACATAACAATTCGCGGCATGAATATTTAAAAGAAGTTAGGTGTGGGCATAGATTTTAGGTGTCCGTTCTAATCTTGGACTGCCCTAGAGAAGCCTCCCCACCCAATTGTTAGAGGTTCTTTCTCTCTCTCTCTCTCCCCCTATGCGATACTTTTTAATTCCTTTTTTCAGGTGAAGGAAATGAATATGGAGATGCTAATTTCACGAGTTATATTATATTAAACATTAAATCGTGGCGGCCCTGGTCAACGTTCGAGTTCGATGTGTCATCATGTTTGGCACTAGTAACGACACGCTTGATGATTTTATATGCGATTGCAGGTGAAACTTACGTGTCCGGCCTAAATTTATCGTATTTCCCCTCTCGCCCCCCCCTCAGTTTATCGTTTATTGTAATGTGGTCCTTTGAGTTTTGGAAATCGAGAAATCAAAAAATATTATATGCACCAGAGGAAACATTATGTCAGGCATGCAAATGGCTGCGTTTTTTTTTTTTTGAGATTTGAGATTTAGCAGGCTCTGACTTTGAGTTGGTGTGGGAACCTTCAATGGCATTGGAAGGATATTGATTAAGAGTTTCTTAGGGACAATTTTAATCATGGACGGTGCATTTGCTTAGGAGAAAAAAGGTAAGGAGCTTTTTTAATTTAAGGGAATGACTTATTTACGGTTTGCCCCCTGGCGTTTGGAGTTTATCAGTACTTTGTGACCTGTAATTCTTTTTAACCCGAAATTTAATCGAATTCATCTCACGGCAATCACTCCGTTCCACCTTGTAGTTGTGTAAGGATCCGGGGTCTACACTGTATAATATTGTCCGCTTTTGGTCCACTGACCCTCACGGCTTTAAAACGCGTTGTCTTGGGTAGAGGCGCTCTTTGGCCCTTCCTCCCCCAAGCCCAATATTGTCCTCTCTGGGGCGCTCTCTAGCCTTTCCCCTTAAGGCTTTGTTCTCATCATGCGCAGCGGAAGCAAGCCCATGTGAAACGCGTTTTAAAATCGTGAGGACTTAGTGTCCAAAGCGGACAATATTACACAAGGAGTGGCGCAGCGGAAGCGTGGTGGGGCCGAGGTCCTTACAATTTGTACTTCCGCTGAAAAGTCGGCTTGCAACTCTCTTTCAATTTTCTAATCAGTCCACGAGATTCAACATTTTTCTACAGAAGTATCGTCGAAATGAACATCGCGATCAACACGTAGCTTGATTGAGTGGACGGGATGTTCTGAATGCATATTTTTCAACTCCTTGAATAAGCAGTCACGAATCCAGCCTCGAGCGAAGAAGTGGAATGTGCCCGATATGTTTGTGCATTCTCTTGGGACAATCCTCGAGAGTACAGCATGATCGATCGGTGAGTTGCATACGATCACATAACAAAAGACCTCATTTTTCGACTGGGAACATATGATGCGAATTGAAATAATTCCGTAAAATCTAGGTACTTAATTACTAAAAGTATAGCATAGGATACAGAGATAGATGTCTCTATATTTGAGGGTAGAGTGTAATGAACTAGAATCTTTCTCCTGAGCTTGACATGACAAGGAACTGTTCAGCCTGCCCTTATCCCTGCCATCCCATGCTGAGCATAAGTGATGCAAACCCTAGAGCCTCTCAAAGTAACCTATGAAACTACAGTTGATTGAAAGGGAAGATTGAGTGCCACCTACCAGAGACGAAACCCTGTGCTTGATCATGTGTGAAGTTTTGTACTTTTCTGGTATATACTTTTCTCGTGGTAAAAGAAATGGGATTTTTCTGACAATACCCTCTCTTTTTTTTCTACCATTTTTACCCTTTTGTGCATAAAATGGAGCTTGATCTGGATCCGCCAATCAAAAAAACACACCATCTCGTTGCCTGACCCTTTTTCGGTGTCAGATGATTCAGGAGTAATCGACCTTAAACTTTTGTCTTGGCAAAGAACACATCGGCCTGCATTTTATATATGTATCCATGTATGTATATCTAAAGAACATGAGCACCTGATTACTTTAATGGCTCATAAAACATTCTACAAATCCCGCATATAGATTGATGCAAACCTATGATCCGAGCAGATGGCCCTGATCCAAAACGGTTTACACGTATTTGATAAAATTCAAATGGACGACTTTTAATTATTGATTAAGAATCCTTTTATCTCCCAATCAATTGCACCAACCCCTCGAAATTAGCCTCTTCGCATTTTATAGGCAAGAAGAATACCATTCTGAAAAATCCAGCGTTGTAGGTTGAACTCTGTTCTATATTCCAAAATCGATACATATGGATTTTCACGTCGGAGTCTTTGTTCTCTACAAGTTCAGCAAACTATACAAAAGCCGAAGTTCATCATAAATAAAAAAAACCCCCAAAAATACGACAAAAATTTCCAAAAACGGCTCCCTCGAGTCTCAGACCTATTAAAGTTGATAGATGCACGAAAATCCCTCAAATTGCATGCATCGAGATAAGGCTTTTAAAGTTACTTTAAGTTAAAAACGATGAGATTCCAACTCAATTATTTCATAATTTCTAATTACTATTGATAGCCCAATTTTTTGTTTATCGAGAATAGCTTCTGATCTGCAGCTTTTCTTGGGGGGCGGCCCATCTCAGAGCTCTTGCTCATTAAAGAAACTCACATTCTCCAATCCCTTCCATTTATAACGCATCACAAGATGCTTGTGCTCTGCGTTCTGTCGACAAGGTTCCATCTCTTTAAGAAAAGGAGGTAAAGAAAAAGGAAACGAAAGCAGCAAAACCAAAGAACATAAAGAAAATGACCAAATTTGATTTGGCATCTACCCCTTTTATGAAAAGCTTTGCTAGACCCAATTGTCCATCGAGATTGACCCAAATGCCCCCCCCCAAGCCTCGTCGAACCCAAGAAGCCGGCAAGCTGGACTATTCTGTCCTCCCAATGAACATACCGGTCAACCGTCTTTGTGAATTATCTATAGCACAGTATACGTGACCCTTCCCTTTCTCTAGCCCAACACAAATACCAAAAGTCATCAACACGCAAGGAGAACAAAGACTGATGAGAAAGCTCGTGGCCACCTCCCACCATCTCCATGGCCGAGCTTATACATGAAGCCACCGGGAAGATGACGCAGCTCTGCCGGAGGATCGTGCGCGTCAACCTGCCGTGGAGGGTCGTCGAGCGGGTCTCGATATTCCGGGACTTCTTCCGGTTCATCTGGGAGAGGATCCTCGTTTGCTCCACGGGGCGGCGGACGGGGGCGGCCCGGTACCGGCGCCTGCCCCGCCGGGGCAATTCCCTGTCGGGCATGGAGGCTCTGGAAGGGCCGGCGACGGCATGCGGCGAGCACGAGACGGATTCGGATTTGGTATCCCTGAAGATCAGTTTGCTGGGTGATTGCCAGATTGGGAAAACTAGCTTCGTGGTAAGTAAGATGGCGTTCTTGATATTCACCAGAAGTGATCCTTTCCTTATCTGCTTCAAAGAAGAGTACAGAAATTTGTTTCGTTTTTCTTTTCTTGATTTTTCATCAGAAAGTAGACTTCTTGTTATCTTCTTGAATTTTTCTAGTACTTTCCTTTTTCTTGTTTTTAGTTGTTACTCCTCTATTGGATGATACTGCTTTTCTGTTATCCTTGCTCATAATATGCGATGAATACTGATGCAAAGTCCTGCAACTTCTTCTTGGCAGATTAAATACGTAGGAGATGAGCAGGAAAAGTGCAGCCTGCAAATGACAGGGTTAAATTTGATGGACAAAACGATGTTTGTTCAAGGAGCCAGAATTTCATGTAGTATTTGGGATGTGGCAGGTAAGTGAAGCAATTTCTTCTTTTCTTCGGGGATAAATTCAGAGAAATGATTCCTGATTTTCAGTGATTCTTTTGGGGTTAAGTACCTAATTCTCTATTTTCTGCTTGAAATGGGATCTCTGTTTTCTAACTGCAGGCGACAACAGCTCCGTCGATCATCTGCCCATAGCTTGTAAAGATGCAGTGGCAATTTTGTTCATGTTTGACCTTACTAGTAGGTGTACCTTAAACAGGTCTGCACATAATCGTCATCTCTAATCTTCTTCCCGACGAATCTTACAAATTACTTCCATTTTGCTGTTAATGATTTCTCGGAAAGGTTTCTTAAGTATTGTGTGTCTTGCGGTGCGGATTTTTTGCAGTGTTGTTGGGTGGTATGCTCAAGCGAGAAAGTGGAATCAGGTACCAAATGCAGTTTTCTGCTTGGCACTATTACCTCTCTTTGTCATCAGATTAACCAATTTGCCATCAAATGAGTAGTTCATATCAACAATGAAGTTTTGTGGGGATGCAAATTATTGGTGATGGGATTAACCATTGGTCACCACTGATCAATCCTAATGTTGGAGAATCGAGTGAAATGATGATGCAGATGTTACTTGTGTTTGGAACTTTGCTACTGGAAATGCTCAGTGATGTGAGGTTGGAAAAGTTGGGGGTGTCATGAATCATAGTGTCAAGTTTCTCCATGTGTAAAAGTATGCACTGCTCTGAAATGCCACTCATCAAAATGGAGGAGCTTTCTTTGACGTCATGACAAAATTACCCCTGAATTGATGATGAAATTGATAATAGCAGCACTCTTTTTGCTCCTTGTTTTCCGCCATCTGTTTATGGACACCGAGTCCTGAAACATTGAAAGTTCGAAGTGTATAGTTTTGTGAAGAGCAAAGGCATCTAATTTGTCCACCTTACTTGTATGCAGACAGCTATTCCCGTATTAATCGGGACAAAGTTCGATGATTTCGTCAAGCTTCCTCCAGATTTACAATGGACAATCATAACTCAGGTAATTACAGACAGCTATCTGAACAAGAATGTCTGAGATGACAGCGGAGAAAGACTTTGACTTGAGAAGTCTTCCCTCTGTCTAACATTTCCAACGCTTTGGACGTTTGTGTGACCTCTCTACGCGTAAAGCACAAGCACAGGGATGCACGCTTTTCACTAAAGTAGCATTACACCCTTTATTACGTCATGAAAAAGCTTCTCTTTTTTTACGTTTTTATTTTTGAAACTTTTACTTTAAATTGAACAATCTTCCATATGTGGGTGCAATTGGAGAGATTTGAATTTGCATTTAAACGCAGGCAAGGGCGTATGCAAAGGCGATGAAGGCGACCCTTTTCTTCTCGAGTGCGACCCACAACATCAATGTCAACAAGATATTCAAGTTCATAATGGCCAAGCTCTTTAACTTGCCATGGAGCCTTGAGAGGAACCTGACCATCGGTGAACCCATCATCGACTTCTAAACGTCTGTTATTCCCTGACAAAACCCTTTTTGTACATAGTTCAGCAGTTAGGAGAAAAACACAAGAGAGAGAATGAATAAGTTTCTGTTTACTTACCTAATTCCCTTTTTTTTTTCTTTTTTGTTGTTGCATTCTTGAGTTTCGGAAATCAGAACTCAAGAAACAGGTTGGGATTGTTTGATCCCCTTATGGTTTCTTTCGAAACTGGCTAATTTGTTAAGATATAAGGTTGAGCTTATGCAACACCCTATAGAAGATTGAGCTTTACATAATCAAAAACCTGAGGAATCCAGTATTTGACACTTCCAAATTCCCCTTTTCTGTCTTATAATCCTTTATCAAGAGAATTCGGTTTCGCACATTTCATGCTTTGGCATTCCTAACCACGATTGCATAAGAGGGATGCTAAGATACAGCAAATTTGGCGCCGTTCTCCCCCGATAACATTGGGAGTAATCAATTGGTTATGAAAAGAACAAAGAAAGAAAAAGGCCGTGCGCCCGATTAGATGGAAAAGGGAACGACAGATGTATCACTCGTTTTGCCGAGCGAATGGCCATGGCAATAGATGAGAAAAAGAGAAGATAGACACGGTATTCATGGATACAGGTATTCATAGATCGCTCATCATTCCCGCGAGCCAACCCCGCGAGCCAACCGTAGCAATTTGGTCCTTTGTAAGGAAGGATCATTAAATTGAATGCCAATTGAAAACAGAACTATATTCAGATCTGATGTCATATAATACAAGAAACAAAAAGCACATCAAAATCTGTTCTTTAAAGCTGTTGAAAGCAATTTAAGAATCCGATGTAAAACCCCCCACTGAATCTGAAACAGAAGATGGCACATAGATGAGATGTCATCACAAAACTAAACCTGCAAGTATTTAATGGCCGTTTGAACGTCCTTGTCCCCTCTGCCACTGCAGTTTAGGACGACCTTAGCTCCATCGGGGAGAGTTGGGCACAGCTTCTCCAAAAAAGCCAGCGCATGGGATGTTTCCAGGGCAGGGATAATGCCCTCGAGCCGTGATAATCTTTTAAAAGCTGCCTCATACAAAAAAACAAGAGAAGAAAATATCAAAACTAGTCAGATCACACTGTACCCAAAAACCAGGGACTTTCTCACCTCACAGTACAGAAGTACTCTTCCATAAGCACGCAAAAAATCAAAGCCACAAATGTGTGTGTGTGTGAAAGAGAGAGAGAGATCCCTGACCTTCCAATGCCTCTTCATCAGTAGAGCTATAGTATTCAGCACGTCCGATATCTTTCAGAAAACTGTGCTCAGGTCCAACTCCAGGGTAGTCCAAGCTTTATAGGATGTCAAAGAAAGAGTGTCATCGGAGGGACACTATAGACAGCTCAAAGGGAAAGTAAGGATGTTACTTACCCTGCACTAATCGAGTGGGGTTCAACTATTTGCCCATCGTCATCTTGTAACAAGTAGCTCATGGCCCCATGCAACACGCCAACCTCCCCTTTAGTTAAAGTGGCAGCATGTTTACCACTATCCAAGCCGAAACCTGCAGCCTCCACGCCAATCAACCGAACATCCTTATCATCAACAAATTCATGGAAGAGTCCCATGGCATTTGATCCTCCCCCGATACAGGCAACAAGCACATCTGGTTTTCCGCCCCATTTTTCAACAGCTTGTCTCCGGGTTTCCTTACCAATCACTGCATGGAACTCCCTGACCATCATCGGGTATGGATGAGGCCCAGCAACAGAACCCAAAATGTAATGGGTTGTTTCCACATTTGTCACCCAGTCCCTGATAGCCTCGGATGTAGCATCCTTCAATGTTGCTGTTCCAGAGTGCACTGGTCTAACCTGAATATGATAACATATATGTTATGATTTCAACAAATGCAATGAAAGAGGAAATGAATGTTGATTGAAGGGAGCATCACAGAGTGGACATTCATTCAAATCTTGCTCATATAAAGAGTTGTTAAACACTGGCAGACAGAGCTAAGCTTTCACCAACTCCTAATAATGCAGTAGCCACCAAATATATTGTACAGTGCACGAAGCCTAAATTCAAGTACTGTCCAAGGCTCCAAGTACAAACCCAATTAGCAAGAAAAAGTATCTTCAAGTAGTAGAATAATAATAAAGTCTCAAAAAAAAAAAGTAGTAGAATAAGATCTGACCAAAAAAAAAAAAGTAGTAGAATAAGAAAAGCGGAATCTTCAGGGGCAGAACTGAGAATGGCAGCAGCTAGAAGGAAGCCTGCCGCCAGAAATAGGGCAGATACAGAAAATAGCTGATTTTGCAGCATCCAGCAAATCCTTTCACATTTGATTTGTTAATAGCTGCCTCTAATCGCCGGCTCTGATAATGAAATAAGAATTTTCATGACATCTGAATTATTACATCAAGGCTCCTTCCATCGCAGTGTTTATCTCAATATGAATTTGATTAACAGACTACCTGCTCACCATATATGTGCTGGATCTTGGATTCCAAAGAACAATTCAAAGATTGATCATTACGTTGAATGCTCATGTACAGGAGTATTAAAATCCAAACTAACAGCTTTCGGACAAAGGTAAATGGCCACAGGCCTGCAAGATTTTCCAACTTCATGCAACATGACAATTTGAAGCAAACTAAGATTTCAATAATCACAGAGTCAGACCACCATCACCACATACGATAAATCACGGGGGTACAATATAGCACAAGGGCTAATACACAGAGCGCACCTCGGCTCCAAGAAGACGCATTCTGAAAACGTTGAGTGCTTGCCTCTCCATATCTTGGGCACCCATATATATAATGCACTGCAACCCGAAGCGGGCGCAAACTGTAGCAGTTGCAACTCCATGTTGACCAGCTCCAGTTTCAGCAATTATCCGATTTTTGCCCAGTCGCTTTGCAAGCAAAGCCTGAGCAACAGCGTTGTTGATTTTGTGAGCTCCGGTATGGTTGAGATCTTCCCTCTTGAGGTATATGAGCGGCCCTTCACCATTTGGGCGCTTGTAATGCTCCGTGAGCCTTTCTGCAAAGTAAAGAGGACTCTCCCTACCAACATAATCTTTCAAAATCCCATCCAACTCTTTCTGCGACAAACACATATTCATCTCAGGAAGGACTCCAAAATGCCAAAACAACAATACGCACAAACTCATGAGAGATGTATGACAGAAAGCTGGAAACGCAAGAAAGCAAATGAGCTAAAGATGTCAATGAACCGGGCTAAAGTGCTGTCAAATGACCGACAGAGAAATCGATACCTATGCGGAAAAGAAGGATGGATTCAAAGACATCCATGATACATGATCACAACTAATCTTCTCTATATATGCAAAAACTCATGCATTTTTCCGAGTAGACTGCTCAAGCAAAACAGAAAAAACAATGTCAAAGAAAAGCCTCCACCAATCATTTCAAGAGCTTAAAACATCTCCATCATCCAGTAAAAAACACAACTTCCAATATATTTTACTTTACAGTAAAATTCCTTAGTGCATACATCAATCAGCGGCTAGCCCATTGCCTCAATTCAAATCGAATAACCAATATAGCGACGAGTCAAAAACACGAACAAGAACGCTAAAAACAGCGCCAAAAAATTTATTTACAAGCAACAAAACAAACCCATTTCGCGGAAAAAAAGCGAACTTTTTTGAAAAGAAAAGTCGACAGAACCTGAAAATCAACATCCCCGGCGAGCGCATGGAACGCGGACTCGAGCTCGGACAGCGCCTGCATCAGGGTCTCGGGGACGTACTTCCCGCCGAACTTCCCGAACCGGCCGAACGAGTCGGGCCTCAGCAGCCGGGCGGGCTCCTCCATCCGAACGGCGGCGTCTCGGGCGAGGGTGCAGGAGATGGCGGATCGGAGCCGGCGGGCCGGAGACGGGCGGACTGCAAAATTCGCCGGTTTGAACGGCGATAATGGCTGGGACCGGCGGCGCAGGGTCGGGAGTCCGTGGGCCGAGGAGGATGAGGGAGGAGCTTTAATGGAGGCGGCCATAGGCGTAGAGAGAGAGAGAGGGAAGAGAGAGAAAGAGAGGGAAGAGGTTGATGTCGTCTGTGGATTCTGAGGAGGCTTTTGTCTTGTTTTTCTCCACGAGGCATGAGATTCCATGGAATTAATATATGGACAAATATTTATTATTTCATTTAGTGCAGGATTTTTTTTGTGGTCCTTTTTAGGTAATTTTTTTGCTTCTGCGTGACTCACCCACCACTTGGCAATTTTGGGCTTGCCATGTATGCATGGGGGAAAAGGTTTATCTAGAAATAAATAGAGGTCCCAAAATGTTGTAAATATAGCTTTTTTAGATTAACATGGCTTAATCTCTCTCTCTCTCTCTCTCTCTCTCTGAAAAAATGATTTTACATTTTGTGTAAAATGATTATGATTACCGCGGCTCCGATATCATAAATTATTACGAAGCTCACATGCAAATTTCTATTTATGGAAAGAAATTAGAAAAAGGAAGAAAAAAGGAAAAAAATCAGAAAAGCAAAGACGAAAATGCCAGGTCCTTCTTGAGAATAACATAGCCATTTTAGATCCTTATTTGAAATAAGGTCTACCTCATGTCTTTATTTGAGAGAATGAGGACACTTTAGATCCTTATTTGAAATAAAGTCAACTTTAGGGCCTTAATATAAGAATTAAGGGCATTTCAAGCCCTTAATTGAAATTTTCGCTTATTTTAGGAAGCATTTCTGTGCTAGGATGGGGTATTTATCATGGATTTTACTTTTAACTCTCTTTTTTTTTGTGAATTCTACGACATTTAAACTTCCACCTTTGTTAGGAAGAAATACATAAAACCATTCGAAATCTTTAAGTTTGAAACAATCAAAGTATAATTTATCAGAATTCTTTTGAATAGTTATAATTAGAATTTATAAGAAAAGGTAGAACCCTAATTTCAAATAATAAGTCGAGAGATAAAAACCACTTCGTATTTTAATTTGGCATAGTGCGATGCCCTATACTTAAATTACATTATTTTAATCTATTTACTATCTCAACTTCCTGTCGCATATTTTTTCTCTAACATAACACAAGTCCAAACAAATAATCTCAAATCTTAAATATAGTAAAGAAACGGTTTAGTAATTTTTGTGTTGAGATGGTGTTGCTTGGAGATGTTACTGAGAAGCAAGTGCAAAATTAGACTATTATAAAAGTGACATGAGAAAAACAAAGTAAAGATGAATTTGTTCATTTTTTAAACAAGATATAATTGCCAAATAAAAAAGTTCCATAATTGAAAAATAAAGACAAAAATATTTGAAAATGAATATATTCCATTTTTCGTAAAGATTAATTTAGTCCCAAACTAAATACAAGGAAAGGGTGAGTTGAAACTATAACCATCACATAAAATTGATCATTCTACCAAAACTTGTGAAATTTGAATTGGAATCTAAATCTAGGAATTGAAATGATAAAACCATATCTTTATTATAATACTTTAACTAAATGAACAAGGTAGAAACAAAAATTTAACGCAAATAGGACCGACGAATCTCTATTAATTTTCATAACTCTTTTACTGAATTGAGTTTGAATTTGATTAAAAAAATTGATATCACGTAGATGCATTGAATCATCATCCATATTAATCACAAAACAATCATGATCAAGTATGCTCTTTTAAAATAATTCTTTTTTTTTGTTTAGCCAATTGTCAGGGATATTCTTTTATTCAATTTCTTGGAACTTTCTTTCTTGCATTTTACTCTTCGAATGACTTTTTTTTTTCCTGGAAACTCTCTTTTATTAAATTTTAATCGATCATATTCAACAAAAGACGAAAAAAGAAAAAAAGAAAACGAGGGAAAAAACAATTTCACCGTTGCCTCGCGCCCCTCTTTATCAATCGTCATCACCACCTTGAGCGCAATTCCGCAAACAGTTGGTGGGATTCGCCCATCAACAAGCTTTCCTGCGACAGCGCCGAGCTCGAATGGCGGATCGAAACGGAGACTGGGATTTCCACCTCCGGACCTTGTCGAGCAGCGCCAGGGACTCCAACTTCGCCGGCGATCCCGCCTCCGATCCGTCCCTTCTTCACTCGGTGAGCTTCTCCTTCTCGTTTCCTCTGCCTATCCTATTCTTTTCCCGTTCGGTTGCTCCGTGGCGAAGGGAGGAGGTGAACCGCGAGCGGTGCTCGTGCCCGCGCTCGCTTCCTCATGCGGCGATGTCGAAGAATCAGCCCGAACGAAGCTTGAATGAACCGTAATTTTGCGTTTTTTACAGTAGGGATTTCGGATGAGCTCGTCGAGCAATCGTTACGGTTTCTATGAATGTGCTCTGTCACTCTTTTCTTTCGTCCGCCAATTGGTGATACTTATGAAGCGGTTCTATTTTCTTTTGTTCTTGTTCTATTGTTTGGACAGGTGAAGAGGTTGTATGAACTGTGCAAGACTGAAAGCTCGGAAGATCTCATTGCGAGGGTGTATCCTCAGATCAGTAAGCTTTTTCAACGGGCAGTGGCTTCCTTGTCTCAATCCAGCACCTCTTACGGCCTTCTCTTGCTGGTTCGATATCGTTCCCCGCGACCTCTCTTGTGCATTGTACTTGTCCTGTTGCTTTAAATGCCATGGATTTATATGATCACGAATTTTGGCAATGCTCACTGCTCAATATGTCCTTGTATAGAGAGAGAAAATCGGATTGCCTAAAAGCATCTTACATTTGCATCATCTTTCATCCTCGTTTTAATGTGGGGATGTACAGTGTGGCTCTGGGGATACTAATAGAGCAGTTTTTAGGAAGGATATGTGTCATAGTTTGTTCATAATGCAGCCAGGCATACCGTCTAAATATCCATATGCTTGTTTCACCAGCATGAATGGTCAATTATTGTATGGCATTCATTGTCCTACTATATGCAGGCAATTCTTCAATTCTTTCTCGACTTTGGGGATGTAGTCCTTCACGATGCTGATACAAGCCTACGGACTTTCTTCAGATCATGCTTGAGCCGGTAATGACCTATCTATCCATGTCATTTGCACATTTTGATGTGGCTTCACTTTTTCAAGGATGTTGACAAATAACATACACTAATAGCCACATGGTCTGGAAGCAGAGCAGAGAGGCACTCAGCAGAAAACCACCAATTGGAAATATCTTATCCGAAAAGACCAAGAAATTTGATTTTGTGATCTTGTTCTTCTCAATAATATTACCATCAGCCAGGTTTTTCGAAGTCTTATTAATATGCCATATGGCATCAGTTATCTGAGATGCATTGATCCTCCGGTTTCCTATAAAATGACCCTACTTAATTTTCCCTAAACCTGCGAATCCCGTGAAATGGCGAATGAACACCCAATGACCACTATAGCCTCTTGAAGGCCTGGAATAAGGTTTCCATGGTACCATGGGCCGTGGCTGTCTGGATGGTGTGAATTACTAAAGAGTAAAGCTGTTGTCATTTATTTTTTACATGCGATGGATAAGCTTTCTTGTATCCACGAAAAAATGATCCCAACCACTGCCGATTAGCTTTCATAGATCAATCATTTACAAACTCTTCCATTCTAAAGGCTTGTCCTTGAATATTTATGAGTCAGTGCAGATTAGTTCCTGGGGATGTGAATCTTAATTCTTATCCTGATGCTTCTGCAGTGAATTTGCTGATCCGGTGGTTGCAGAAGCCACACTTGATTTTCTTAATACATATAAGAAGAAACTTCTGCATACTTTTCCTTCATTGCTCCCACAGGTATAACACTAATTGTTGCTCTTGACGGTTGCAGCATATTGGTATTTGTCACTCGATCCCTTATAGCCTTCTAGCTAGCATCTTTCAAAGAAGGGGCATTTACATAAAAATGTACACCGTGCTCTTCTCATTTAAAAATGATTAGTTTTATGGTAACTATGCCTACAATAAATCTGGAAATCAATCAACAACTTCCTGATGACACAATAATGTGTTTGTAGTTTTTCCCACTGTTGCTGAAGTTGATTGCCTGGAATGGAGAGAAGTAAGTTTTCCGCCACTGTTTAATTGCTGGTCAGTCCAACCAATATCTCGAGTCTTGCCAGCTTAGCTAGCCATACTGTTTGTGGATCTCATAGTCAGGACACTAGTTATTTTTCATTTTGGTACGTTGCGCATGTTAAACTTTAATTAGTTAGGAAAGTTTAAGATTGGAGAGAAGAAATCATGTGTAGAAAGTGAGTAGGAGCACTCAGAATTTAGGTTGGAAAATTTAGGTTTTGGAGATGGAAATTGGAAGCAACCTTTGGTACTTTAGGCTTATTTTCTGGTGTATGCAAACAAGATCTTGCTTGTTCATCCCCACACAAGACTTACCTTCAGATGGTATTGAGGGGAGAAGAAATTGCTTATACGTGTATTCTAAGAGCAATTTATTGTTGAGATTATTTTACAAGGGAATGAGTCAGGATGACAATGGAAGCATGATAAGGTAGGTTATAAACTGGATGAGTCATGTCAAGACTTTTAAAAGAAGTAGGACTTCCTTTTAATGTCAACCTCGAATAGATTATATGCGGAGAAATGTACGGTATAGTTCGAATTACATAAGGGGTCGGGAGCTTTGCTGTATCCTCTAAACTTTCTTCCGTTGAACTGTTTGGACAATGAATTGCTAGGCTTTTAATATCTGATGGAAGATCAACTAATCAGGATTGACATGTCTAAAACTGCAGGTTGGAGAAATCATTCATAAAAATTTTTCCTGGGTTGATAGCCATTGGATCTTTTCTTCCTCTATTTCCATCTTTAATGGACCTACCAGGTGGATTTGCAGCATTCTCTACATTATACCACGTGCATCGTTTTGATGGCCCGAACTCCTTACTGCTTTATGGTTCAACTAGTAGTCCACACAGACCCTTATGATCTGATAAATTTGTCAGCCATATAGATGTTGATTTTAGGATGCTATCATGGCATGCATGGACTTAATCATGATGGGGAGCTGATGTAACGTCTGAACTTTCTTAAAAGTAAAGTAAGAAAAACTTAGTAGGGGTTTCCAAGTTTTCATTTGGAGACAACAGTATCATAATAGAATGTATGGAGGAAGTATAGAGTTTGACCTGTAGATGTTTAGGTT